GATATAAATTCATTTTAGTTTTGGATTGAAAGTGTTGGTTTTCAAAATGAGAATCATTGCTCGATCAGTATAAACAAGTTCTTTTGRCAGCATGTTTGAATCGACTGATTTTAGATTGTAAGTCATGTCGGTTTAACTGTAAAAAACGTCTTTTTCAAAAAAGATTTCAAAATGGATATAATAAAGTGGTAATTGAACTTCGTGTCGTGCAATTTTGGTCTGAAATCAAACTTGCAATTACAAATCGCACGACCGCGACGCGGTCGTGCGATTTTGTAATCGCGCGTTTGATTTCAGACCAAATTGCACTCCACTCAGTTCAATTACCATTATTAATCGCACTCCTTTGAGCAAATCAGATTGCAGGATTTAGTAGTGATTACAAAAAGGATATGATTAATATAATAATACATATCAATGGTATACAGTTTTTTAAGAACTTTCAAAAAGTAAAGTTGATTTCCCCACAACTTTTCCTCTTAATATTCTGATGTCTTATTAAATTTCAAAAGTTGTATTTGTTTTTAGTAGTATAGGGGATGGGGGTTCCAAAACAGTGACCATCCGAGGTTTACCCGCGTTTGTAGAACCTCGGTTTACACCGGAAATACCCGCATCCCATGTCTATGTAGTTAAATATGTTAGTCTATATATGGAGTGTGAAGAATGTAAGAGAACTTTTAAGAAAGAAGCAGACTTGAAGAAGCATTTGAAGATGAAGAAGAAATGTATGAGTAGTTATGATTGTGGGTGTGGTAAGAAGTTCGATACAAAGGTTAAATTATATTGGCATTGCCAGGACTGTGAGTATGACTACGATGATCTGAAAAGGGTCTGGAATTAGGTATAAGATATTTCCTATTATATATGGAATCCCAAACCAATTTCGAAACGGTGTCAATATCCGGTAACGGTGAGATTGACGTTAGACAGTTTTGGTGTCAGTCAGAAAGGAAGGTTAAGAGGACGCTTCGAAAAGGTATAGGAGAATTAGGAGCCCTGAAAGCGAGTAAAATGGTAGAAGTAAGTCTATCAAAAGACGAAGTAACGACAACAGCAATGCTGCGATCGAAGTCACTGGTCATATTAGAGTCCACGAACCTGGATAGATCACTTAGCGAAGCCTTAGAAGCAATCATGGAGACGCTTGCCAACTACACGAGAGAAGGATCTGGTTGGATAGTAGAAGAGGTAGAAGGTATGGAGGTTAGCATGGCAAGGTACGTGCCAATACGAGGAGGAAGTTACGTACCACTACCAACGTGGGTAGAAAGGAAGAAAGCTATAGTCAATGTAAAAAATGATGATAACAGATGCTTTATGTGGGCAATACGATCCGCACTGTATCCAGTAGATGATAACCCCTGTAGGACAAGCAAGTACCCAACAGACGATTTGGAGTGGGACGGCGTGGAGTTCCCAATGCAGTTGATAGATATTCCAATATTTGAGGAGGAAAATGACCTAGCGATTAACGTTTACGGAATCAGAGACCAAACGATAGTAGCACTAGTGTTATCAAAGAGTAAAGAAGAACGAATATACCTCTTCTACTACGGTGGGCACTACTCATGGGTCAAACATGTTAGCAGGCTGTTTTACAGACACACCAAGCACAAAGGCAAGAAGTACTTCTGCGATTGCTGCTTATTATCGTTTACCTCCTTAAAGTCCTTAAAGGACCACGACGAGATTTGCCGCGGCGTAGAGGAAGTAGCGCAACGGATCCAGATGCCCACRCAAAAGGAGTTAGAGTACGCAGACCATAAGAAGCAAACCCGAGTGCCGTACGTAATTTACGCAGACTTTGAAGTAATCATTACCAAAGAAGACCAAAGGAATGGTGCCACGAAAAGGCTGGGATTGCACGAGATCTGCTCGTACGGGTACATCGTAGTACGTTCAGATGGGCAAACAGATGGACCAGTTATTTAGAGAGGCGAGAATGCAGCCAACGAATTCCTAGAAGCGCTGAGGGAAGAGGAAGAGAAAATAAGGCGACATCTGAGAAAACCAAAGAAGATAGCATTTACCAAAGAAAGCCAGGAAGCATACGCGAAGGCAAAAATATGTCATGTATGCAAGCAGCGCCTCCTACAATACGGCAGACAAGTCAAGAAAGCTTGGGATGAGGAGGGTAAATATTTAGGAGAAGCGCACTTCAAGTGCGGGACGTACTACAAGAAAGGTGAGAAAGCAGGTAAGCCATCAACGCACTGCATTCATTGCCACAAAAGATTCGTAGAAGACTTCTACATGGATTAGGTGCTGGATTACAACCAAGCGACGGGTGAATACGTAGGAGCCGCGCACTGGAGATGCAGAACGCATATGGACCCCGACATGGAGATTCCCATGTTCTTTCACAACCTGCGTGGGTACGACTCCCATTTACTACTACAATGGACAGACGGAGCCGACGTAAAGTGTATACCCAATAACAAATAGCGCTACATGTCCGTAACTGTAGGCAAGTTGAAGTGCCTAGACTCGCAGCAATTCATGGCGGACTCCTTAGCAAACCTCGTGCAAAACACGGAGTTCCCCATTTCCAGCCATTACAGCGCAGAAAGGAAAGGAGTGTACCCATATGAGTACATGGATTCCTGGGAGCGCTTTGAAGAGCCCCTACCGCCTAAAGAGAGATTCTACAGCACTTTAACAGAATCTGGAATAAAGGATGAAGAGTACCAGCACGATTGCCAAACGATGGGGGACTGCCACGACATCTACTTAAGGTCTGACGTCGTCCTACTAGCGGACGTCTTTCAAAGCTTCAGAAAGATGGCTATGGAATATTACGGGTTGGACCCCGCGAACTTCTACACCGCGCCAGGACTTAGTTGGAGCGCACTGCTAAAGAAAACGAATGCGCAACTGGATCTTCTAACGGAATACGATATGTACTGGTTTATGGAAGACGGTTTCCGCGGCGGCGTTTGCGGGCCCAGCAGACGTTACGCGCGGGCAAACAACCCCCTAGTAGAGTACGACCCAGAGAGGCCAACCACATACATCTTTTACTTAGACGCAAACAACCTCTACGGTTGGGCAATGTCGCAGTACTTACCTGTACGCGACTTCGAATGGGATGACGTGCAGCCGATAGACATTTACATGCAGGTAGACAAGGAATCCGACAAAGGTTATGTCTTAGAAGTGGATTTGGAGTACCCAGAGCACCTGCACGACGCGCACGATGAGTTCCCGTTAGCACCGGAGGCAATAGAGATACCATTTAAGCAGCTGAGCCCGCTGCAGAGGGAAATGTGTCCCGGATACAAACCATACAGGAAACTAGCTATGAACCTGATGGACAGGAAGAAGTACGTGGTGCATTACCGCAACCTGCAGTTCTACGTGCGCCACGGAATGCGGGTGACGCATATACACCGAGTCTTGAAGTTCACGCAGGAACCGTGGATGCGCTCCTACATAGACTTTAACATACAGCGTACAGCGGCTAAGAATGACTTCGAAAAGAATATATTTAAGCTAATGAACAACTCGGTATTTGGTAAGACGATGGAGAACATCCGCAAGCGCGTAAGCATAAAAATAGCCAGCACCAGAGAGGAAGCAGAAGCCTACGTGTCACAGCCCGGATTCGTTAGATACGTAGAAATGCTGAACTTCTACGTGACTCACATGAAGAAAGCGAACCTATTCTTGAACAAGCCCGTATACACGGGGTTCGCCGTGTTAGACCTATCGAAGTTGCTCATGTACGAGTTTTACTACGACAAGCTAAAACCAAAGTACGGAGACCGCTGCCGCCTCCTGTACACGGACACCGACTCTTTGATCCTAGAAGTGAAGACGGAAGACGTTTCCCAGGACTGCGTAGAGAACATAGACGAGTACGACACCAGCGGTTACCCAAAGGAGCACTTCTTTT